CCTGCTCCAGCTCATGGGGGCAAGTGCATTTCCAAAGCTGCCCAGAGACCTTACTAAAATATTAGCCTGCCTTGAGTGGGTGATAGGGGACTCTCAAATTTGACCAGAAGGGCACCGTGCTTGCATTTTCACTCCAAGAGAAATGCAGAAATTTTCCATGCAAGATGCCAAGCCAGGCAGCACTTCAGCTGTTATGACTGCAAACCTCCTTTGGCTGCCATCACATCCACTCTACTATGAGAAATGTCCTTCATCCTGGTTCTTTGGAAACATGGTGGTAGAGGGAGATGGCTGCTTCCCAAATCGCCACAGGTGCTTGCTGCAGCATGGCCTTTTCCCTCCCTCTCCCAGCCCAAGGTGGCTCACAACTGAGGCTATAGCAGAGAGATGCTCCCTTGGGAAGACCTGATGCTGGATGCCAAGTAGCCCGGTGCGCTGAGGTGGGGATGAAATTGGGGTAAATCGGTTTTCTAGTCTTAAGAGCTGTGCTCTCCTTCACCTCTCCTACCCTGGTGGCAACCAGGGGTAACTCTGCAAAGGTGAGGCAAAGAGGTCACCGTGGCCCTCTTCTCGAAGGCAGCTGCCAGTGCCAGGTTACCCACTTGCTGTTTGCCAGCCAGCTGTTCAAAAGCTGCCTGGAGCAGAACAGCACTGGTGGGAGGCCTCCCAAAAACTGGAGAGAGGGAGGGATTAGGGCTTTAATTATAACTCTCCGCTCATGCTTTTGTAAGCCACACTGTCGCATGCGAGGGAAGGCTGCGAGGACGCTGCTAGCCAGCTCTTCGGTGAGCATGGTCATACACAGAGGTGTCTTGGGGGGTGCAAAGCACCCACGTGGCGACAGCGAAAGGGCCCTCTGCGATGCAAACACCCTGGAGCTTGCGTGTGCATCCTACCGCCTGGCAGCGTGGGACCAGCCGTTGAATCAGGCACGATGGCAAAGAAAAGGCATTGAGGGGCTACTGGGTTCGGCGCAGCCGGCTCCGAGGGAAACGAGCTTTGCTTGCATTGGAGGGAACTTTGCCCAAGCCTCTCCTTGCTGTTGTCACGTCCCTCACGCTTGCGGGAAATCAAATAGGTGCAGGCTGCGATGAGAATAACCGTTTGCCTCTGAAAGTCCAGCCGGGAGCGAGTCCTCCCAGGGCATGCCGCACTCCTGTCTGGGACGGCGCTGCCCCTGGCCCCAGCAGCAAGAGCAGCCGCAGCACAGCAGAAGCAGTGTGGTTTAAGACGCCTGGCTCTGGCTGACCTTGAAGAAGCTGTTTTCACCTTGCTGTGTCTGGAGCTGAATCGATGCCTCCCGTGCGTGGCAGGCGGTGCTCACTGTGCCTGCGCTGGATGCTGGCACCCGGCTCTCATCTGCACCGGGATGGGGATGACGTGACCCACTTACTGCAGGAGACGGAGCAAGCTGGAAGACCCTTCCTGTGCTTCGTGCCAGAGCCAGGGGCTTTTTCTGAGTGCTGGCTTGCTCCAGTGTCGCTCGCCTGGCTTCTCCTCTTGTGCTTGACATTGGAGGTCACAGCCACTGGTTTTATGGCTCTTTCCTTTTGATTCTGTTTTTTTTTTCTTAACATCAATAAAAATAATTTTTTGATCCCAAATCTGGGAGAAGGCTGAGTCCTGTGGATGCATCATGTGAGGCTGTTTATCAGAGACAGAGGCAGAGCGCATGAGGATGGAGAAATTGGAGCCAGAAACCCCCTGGCCTCAGCTCCTCCAGACTCACGGGACTGTGTCTGCAATTTCCGCTGGCAGGCGGCTCCTTCCCTCTGCTCCTGCAGCGCAGCCAGGAGGCGCAGACACCGATGATAACGCGTACCTGATGTAAAGGTGGCAGAAGGGTTTTGTGCAATCCTGTGCCCTGCTCCTGGGGACCAGCAATTTGGGTGCCTCGCCTACATTAAATCACAGGTTTTCACAAGCTTTGGCAGGAACTTACTCCTTTTCTTCTGCTAGCGGTGCGATCAGCACATGCAAAAGGCATTAGAAAAGGGATGCGGCTGGGTTATAAAAGGGATGAACCTTGGGTGATCTTGGCTGTGCCTGGCATAAGTCCCTGAAATGAGGCAGGGTGGGGAGGGCTCATGCTCTTGGGTTCAGGCTAGGTACCAGACTGGCGCAGCAGAGGCGACGTTAGCATTAGCCACAGCTAATTCTGCCTGTGCCAGCTTATCCGGGGAGCCAAGCAGGCTCCTGAAGCCAAGCAGAACGACAAGATGCCCTTGCTCATCCCTGCTCCAAGGGAGTATTGGCCGCTGCATGCAACGCCAGCCCCTCGAAGCACAGCCTTTCCTAGGAGAGTTGGGGTCCTGCATCCAGCGTTTCCTGCAGCGTGCGCTTCAAACTTGGCCCTAACGTTTTCTTTACAGCCTCAGCTTTTTTTAAAGCATGTTGGCATGGCTGGACCCATGCTAACTTTGGCTCTCCTGCCAGGGCAATTCAGCAGAACCAGAAAGGGGCAAGGAAGAAAACACTGATTTTACCTCCGGCGCTTCCGGCTTGTCTCCCCGAGTTATGTTCGTGGCTGAGACGTTGCCCGGCTACGCTTTACGTAGGCTGTCGGGAGGGGGGGGGTTAGTGGGGGGGGGGGGGTAAAAGCAAGATTTGACCCGAGCGATGCGTGGTTGCAAGGATGGGGCCCATTCGGAGGAGGTGGGAGCTGGGGTAGCGATGGGAAGCATGCCTGCTTCTAGCGAACACGCTTGCAAACCGCTGCAGCGGCTGAGGGAAAGGCTGCGTGCAGGCAGGCGGAGGTCTGACACAGCGCTCGGCAGCGGGCCCCGGGCCGCTTGCCCGGCTTTGAGCCAGCCTCAGGCTCCCTGCAGTCCCTCCTCGGCCTCACGGGATTTTCGTGAGTGGAGTTGGAGCCTGCCTCACTGGGCCAAGGCAGGATTTGGGAGGAAGGGAAGTAGAGCTGGCACAAAACCGCCCCAATTACGCAGCTTTTTAGCTTCTTCCCTCCCCCAGGCAGAGCCTCCCCTTGGCAAGACAGCTTGCCACCCCTCCTCAACTCACTCCTTTGGGGTCTTCATACTCAGAAATTGTTTATCCTGGAGCGGGGAAGCCCCATATTCCTTTCTTCTTTTTCCCCTTGTCTACACACAGAGGCATTGCCACTCCTCAGGCTGGCCCTCTGCCAGCCCCCCCAGCGCATTTCTCCCCGCTTTGGGCTGCTGCAAGCTGGATTTGGAAAAGCAAGCAAGGGAGAAAGACAGGCAGGGTGCTCGGTGCCCCATTGCACGGGCAGTCCCTAATTGTCGAGGCAGCAAAACACGGCTC